GGACTTGGCAGAGTGTTTAGGAGGTGGGGACTTGTGGCAGGTCCTTAGGTCACTGGGAGCACATCCTTAAAAGGGATACCAGGACCTTGATCTCTCAGCTTCCGCTTCCTGGCTCCTGGTGTAAGGGCTTTGCTCTGCCAGGCACTTGCTTATGCTGTCCCTGGCCCGGGCCTAGCCCAGTGTGTGGCCTGACTTTGCATTTGACCTCCCACAGTGGAAACTGAACAGACTCTTGCCTTTATAAATTCATTAAAGCCAGGTATGGGGGTGCACCCCTGTAATCCCAGCACTCTGGGAGGCTGAGGCGGGAGGACCTTAAGTTTGAGCTCAGCCTGGGCAACGTAGCAACTTAGCAGGACTGTGTTCCGAGGTAAAAGTAGAAAGGGCTGGGGATGTAGCTGAGTGTGAAGGTCCTGAGCCCAATCCCAGTACTGGAAAAAAAGAACTGTTTTTTCCTCCCTGTTCTGGAGACTGGAGATCCCAGAGGCTTCTTTCCTGTCGGGGGCTGTATTCTCCCTATTCTCCTGGCTCTTCAGTGTCCTCTCTCTGTATGCAGTTGTATCCCAATTCCCTCTACTGTAAGCATCAGTTAGATGGAGTAGACCCCCCCAAGACCTCATTTTAACTTGATCTCCTCTTAGAGACCAAATCTCCAAATGCAGGACTAGAGGTTGGGACTTCAAAATGTGCCTTTGGGAGAGACACAGTTCAGCCCATAACTCTTGTGAAACTGCTTTGCCAACCGTGAAACAGGCCTTGGAGTGCTGGGCCCCACCTGCCTGCGGGAGAGGCCTGAGCAGGGCTGGGAAGTGGCTCCTCTGCCAGCGTCTCCCTAGGGACCAGCTTCTGTCCCTCCATTCGTGGGTGGTGGCCTGACAGTCATCCAGCTTAGCCAGCTGGAAACTGCCCCCTCCCCATACGGGGGATTGAACCCAGGGGTTTCGCACTGGGCTGCATCCCCAGCCCTTTTTAGTCTTTATTTTGAGACAGGGTCTTGCTAAGTTACTAAGTTGGTCAGGCTGGGATGGAACTTGGGATCCTTCTGCCTCAGCTCCCCAGACTGGTGGGATTACAGGAGTGTGCCACCATGTAGGAACCCTGGCTTCTCGGGAAATGGGCAAGGTGTAACCAGGCAATTGGAACAACAGAAAAGTAGGGAAGGGGCTTGGGCCTGAAACTGGACACCCCTACCCTTAAGGTGACCACGCTGGGGTTCAGGACCTGCCCACAGCACAGCCCTGAGCAGTGGCTCTGGGTGAGTGGCCACCACCTGACTGAGCGGAAGGCCCCTGTGGTATGTACCAGAGGTCCCGGCAGCGCCCCTCTGCATGGAGGCCTGCCCTGAGCCTGCTGTCCTGAAGAGCCTGAGGTGGCCTGAATGTCCCAGGCTCAGACAGAGGCAAGGCGTGCTTGGCCCATGGGACCTAAGGTGGGGAGCACGGGGTCCCAGAAGGTGTGAAGAGGGGAAGGGCCCCGAATGGAGACTGGTAGTAGGAGAGCTGACCAAACAGAACACTGAACGGCCTGCTGGGGCACAGTAGGACCTGCAAAGGGTAAGTTAGAGGTGATGCCAGGGTGCTGTGTGGTCCACAGCACGCCCTCTGGCGGCCGATGGCAGATCCTTCAGGGAGGCTGAGGCTGGCTGGCCGGGGAAAGACCACAGGTGAGGCCGGGCCTGCACGCTTTGTAATCCTAGCATTCTGGGTGGCTGAGACAGGAGGATCGCAAGTTCGACTCCAGTGAGAGCAATTTAGAGAGACTCTGTTTCAAAATGATAAATAAAGAAGGGCTGGGGATGTAGCTCAGTGCGGGATTCAGAGATGGCTGGCGGTCTCTCTGGGCCTGAGCCCTTAGAGCAGGTGCAGCAGCAGGGCTGTCTGCCCTCTTCTCACAGAGAATCACTCCTCTCCTGCTCTTCAGAAATGCATGCAGGAGGGGCCAAGGCTGCGGAAATGTCCCCCACTTCTGGGCCTCCGTCTCCTTGAGTAAGTGGAAGAGGCTGGATTTGCCGAGTGTCCTGGGTGGGCAGGACCTGCTGATCCTCTGGGATGGACGGCTGGGTTCCTGGCCGAGCTCAGCCTCTAGTTAGGGCTGAGCCATGGCTTAACCTTGCATTTTCTTTTCCCATCTGCAAAACGAGAGGACAATCGTCAGACTCAGTAACACTGTGGATTTGAGGATCTAATCAGCACTGACACCTTGGGTGAGGCAGCGCCATACATGGTTTGCCACCACCAATGTGGGTGTGCTCATTTGGCCCTCACTGTAACCTTGACATGTAGATTTTTTTTCAGTCCTGGGTATTGAACCCAGGGCCTTCTCACTGAGCCACATCTTCACTCCTTTTATAAATTTTAAAACTTTTAGATGGGGTCTTGCTAAATTCTAAGTTTCCCAGGTTGGGCTCAAACTTGTGATCCTCCTGCCTCAGCCTCCCAGAGTGCTGGGATTACAGGTGTGCACCGCCATGCCTGGCTTAGATTGTAAAAAAGTATATAATTGAGGTTCAGATGGGGCACATAATTTTGCCTAAGCCACAGAGCAGACTGATGGCCAAAGCAGGTTTTGAAGTAGGTCATCTGGTGCCTTTGGGGAGGCAGGTTGACTTTTAACTACTTTTCTCTCTTTTTCTGTGGTATTTTGTTTCTGCCAGCATTGGTAGGATGTTTTGTCCTAGAAAATTGTCCAGTTGTCAAGATTTTGAAAATTTTTGATGTAAGGTCATATATAATATCCACGTATACACTTTAACATCTGGAATTATTCTTGTGTTTTATGTCTATATGTATGTCTTTTGTTTGTTTCTCATTAAGGATGGTTTTAGCTTTGTTGATTAGATTTTTTTCAAAAGCCTGTTTGTGTTCTGTTTGTTTTTTTTAGAGACAGAATCTTGCTAAGTCACAAAGTTGCCCAGGCTAGACTGAACTTGTGATCCTCCTGCCTCAGCCTTCCTCAGTGCTGGGTTTACATGAGTATGCTACTGTGCTCAGTTTATTATTTTGTTAAAGAACTTATTTCATTATTTTTTGCTTGCCCTTTGTTAATTTCTTTTTCAATTTTACTCTCTTCTAACCAGTGTGTTTTTTGTTGCTACTTTCATTTCAATCATTTTGTTGAGTTGATCAGGTTTTCTTTGTCTTACTTTTTTCTTTCTTTCTTTTTTCCTTTTTGTATTGGTTTTGTCAGTTTCATGTTTTCCTTGATAGTATTTATCTTAAGATTCAAAATATATTTAATCATGTATTTTTCCACCGCACCTAAAACTGCATGATTTCTATAACCTTTCCTTAAATAAGACAAAAATCTCTGCAACTTTCAGTTCCTTTAACTTTCTTTTTTTTTCATCTTCCATATCAAGATTACCTTTATTTTAGATCTAGGCTGTTATTAAATCTTATTCGGGTTTTTTTGGCCCATAACTGCTACTTATATTTAATATCTTCCTTCTAGGTCTTTTATTTTATTTTGTGAGAATAAATTCTGTAGTAATTCAGAAAGGGTGACTGGTAAACTCTCTGGGATCTTTGTGCACCTGAAATTTTTTTTTTTTTTTGTACCGGGGATCAAACTCGGGACCTTGCCCTTGTGAGGCAGGCGGTGGAACCACTGAGCTAAATCCCAGGCCCAAAGGGAAGGTGAGACCCTCGGAAGGCAAGGTCTGAAAAATCTTTATTTGACCTTTTTCCTTGCAGGTTAGTTTGGCTGGATATAGAATTCTAAGTTTTTCTCCTTAGAACTTTGAGGCAGTCCTGCCCCTATATTCTTGAATCTGATATTGCTGATAAAAAAAATCTCATTTCAAGTAATAGGTAATCTTTCACCCTTTCTTTTTTTTTTTCTTTTGGTACCGGGGATCGAACTCAGGTCCTTGCACCTGTGCAGCAGGTGGCGAAAGCACTGAGCTAAATCCCCGGCCCTTTCACCCTTTCTTTCTATGGCATTTAGTGTTTTCTCTTCATCCTGATCTGAAATCTCACCATAATAGCACTCAGTGAGCCTCTCAAATCAGGAGTCATGTCTTTCTTTAGCTCTGGGAAATGTTCTCTACTACTTCTTCAAGTACATGCTTGAGGAAGTTCTGTTTGCTCTCTCGTTTCCCTTCTACATTTACTAATAGCTAAGTGTTTGCACTTGCCTGGCTTCTAAGTCCTTTACCTTCTCCCTCACATTTTCCATCTCTTTGTCTCTTTGCAGGGCCTTCTGGGAAGCATCATAGATCTCGCGCCATCAAAAATTCCTTAGCTGTTTGCATTGTGTGTGTGTGTGTGTGTGTGTGTTCTAGTACTCAGGATTGAACCCAGGCCTTTTGCACTGAGATACATTCTCAGCTCTTTTTATTTTTTGAGATAGGCCTCTTTAAGTCACTAAGTCACCCGGTCTGGACTCAAACTCTTTATTTTATTTTATTTTTTTGGTACCAGGGATCGAACTCGGGTCCTTGTGCTTGTGAGGCAGGCGGCAGAACCACTGAGCTACATCCCCGGCCCTGGGCTCACACTTTTGCTCCTCCCAATTGCACAAAGGTTCCTGGCTGTGCACTGGTCTCTCTTACCTGGTGCCAGGGCCCAGGCTGCTCCTTCTCTGCTAATGCCACCTTCTCCCCATGGCCCCACAGTTGCTCAGCTAAGGGACCTTTCAAAGCTCAGCTGGTGGCCTTTCCTAGGACTGGCCCTGCTCTGTCCCACAGCTCTGTCCCCCTCACCTGTTGGACCTGTCATCCGTGCTCCTGGCTGTTGCCTCCCTGGCCAGAACAGGACTGCGGGGCAGCAGCTGATGGCCCTCACCCATCCCACAGGAAGCGTCAGTTACAGAAGTGATGGGCGGGAGGCCAAGGGGTGTGGGTGCCCCCTGGCCCGGCAGGCGGTCTTGGTGGGCCCCTTACCCAAGAGAAAGTGCCTGGGGATTTGCTGGGTCCCCTGCTCCCCCAGCCCCGCCCCCGACCTCAAGGTCCTCAGGAGGGAGACACGCTGACGCTGATGTGACTCCTGCTCTCTCTACAGGCACTGGTGCCATCACACGGTGACACGGACGGTGTCTTGCCAGGTACAGAACGGCTCGGAGACCGTGGTTCAGCGTGTGTACCACAGCTGCCGGTGGCCTGGACCCTGCGCCAACCTCGTGAGGTAAAGGCCCTGGGTTGGGCCCTCGTCCTCTCTTTCCCTGGGGTGTATCCAGCCGCAGCCCAGCGCTGGCAGAGGCTGGGTTGGTGCTTGGAGACCTGAGCTGAGCACTTATTTACCGAGCACCTTGGTGTGCAGGTGGGGGGTATGTGTGTGTACAAAGGGGTATGTGTGTGTACCGCGATACAGAGCCGCCACAGATTCGTGGGCGAGGGGACTGAGGCAGCAGAGAAGGGCAGATGGGGCCGAGGAAGGAACTAGCCAGCTTTGGAGCCTCGGATTAGAAGGTGGGACCGCTGCTCTTTAGCCCCGCCCCTCACCGCCTCGCCCATCAAGCCCACTCTCGGAGCCGCACCCTCCTAGCCCCGCCCCACAGTCGCACCCTCTTAAGCCCCGCCCAGGCACCACTCCCTCCGGGCCCCCGCCCCCCGGCCTGTCTCAGCCCAGAGCTCTTCCTGGGCCTCCGCAGGGAGCGATCTCGGGTCGCCGGCCGCCAAGCCTGGCCTTCAAGGCCTCCGAGGCTCTACCTCACCCCTCCCCTTCTGCTCCCCTCCGGGCGGCGCTGCAGCGCGGAGCCTGGCTCCCCCTAACCTGTCTCTCTCAACTTGCCAGTCTGGGGCCTCTGCCTCTCGGACCCCTCCCCGTCCCTGGGATCCCCATACTCCGAATACTGGTCTGTCCCGGGCTCTTCAGGGAAATCCAATCAGTAGGCGGTAGGGTCGCTCAGGTGTGGCGCTGTCAGTCAGTAGTTAGGAGGCTGGCGGGCGGGAGGGCAGGGGACAGAGGTGACGTCGCGGCCGGCCGGGTGAGGCTGGATCGGGCAGAGCGCCCTCTCCCTTCCTGGACGGCCGCGGAAGCTAACTGGATTCACTCCCCCTAAGAAACACCTTCGCTGCGACTCCCACTCATGCTCCACCGCATGGCCAACGTGACTCATGACCCTAACCATCGCAGGACCGTCAGAAAGTGGGTGTATTTTCATTGCTAAAACTGGACGTTGGGCCCGGACTGTCACCCAGCACCGCCCTGAGAGATCAGCGCCCGGGTGCGGTGCCTAGGATTTGACTCCAGCTGCGCCGGGCGCAAGTGGGACCTGCGGCGATGCAGAGGGGCCCTGGCTGGCTTTGTTTCATTTTCTAGGTTCACATTCTACCCTTTGTTGTTGTTGTGATTATGAAGATAAGTGATCTATTAAAAATCCCAGTGTTACAGAACTGGCTATGGTACAAAAGGCGCGTTCTCCCTGCTGCCAATACCACTGCCACAATCCTACTAGTAGTATTTCCATTCCAGATGCTTTCCCCTATTCCAGATTCCATAATTCCCGGAACTCACCTCATTCCAGAGATTTTTTCGATATATATATAAGTTTTCCCCTCAGAAAAATATTTTGGGATAATTTCCCATGGGCCCATCTTTATAACACCTGTGTAGTATTCCATTATAAGAAAGGATCATCATTTATTTCCCATATCTTTGACTGATAGATTTTTAAGGGTTTCCTAGTTTTTGATTTTATAACTATGCATCAATGAGTATTACTCTGTGTGTGTGTGTGTGTGTGTGTGTGTGTGTGTGTGTGTGTGTCCACAACCTTTTTTTCTTTAACTTTTTATTTTGGAATATTTTAGGTTTATAAAAAACGTAAATGGAGTTTGTCTGTGCCTATACCTCCCACCTGGATTCCCCTAATGGTAACTAAGTAACCACTGTATATATACCCAAGCCAGGAAATCAACAGTATTACAGATAGACCTTCAGATTTTGTCAACTGTCCCCATAATATCCTTTTCCAAGCTGGGCATGGTGGCTCATGTCTGTAATCCCAGAAGCTGGGAGGCTGAGGCAGGAGGATCACTGTGAGTTCAAGGCCAGCCCGAAACACATAGGGAGACACTGTCTCAAAACAAAAGAAATGATAGGGCCGGGGATTTAGCTCAGTGGCGCCACACCAGCCTCACAAGTGCAAGGACCTGAGTTCGATCCCTGGTACCAAAAACCAAAAAACAAAAAACCCAACAACAACAAAAATCAAAACAAAACAAATGAAACAAAACAAAAAATTCTTTTCCAGTGCAGAATCTGACTCAGGATTTAAACTATTCTGCCTCCTCAGGGTCCTCCAGGCCAAAGCATTTTCAGTGGTCTCTTGTCTGTCTCTTGATGCTTTCGAAAGTGCCGGCCAGTGGCTTTGTAGCGATTCTCCAGTCTGAGGGTGTCCGACACTCCCTCACCATTAGACGGAGACGTTGCATTTTCAGCAAAGACACTGAGAAGTGCGGTCGTGCCCTGTGTGGAGCGCACGTAAGAGACTCGGGGAGCTAGGAGGGCTCTTGACTGGCGGCGCGGACGTGGGTCACGTGACCAAGGGGGCGTCTGCCGGCTTCCTCCGCTGTCGTGCAGTTCTTCTCATTCTTGTCCTTTGTCTGTACAATTGTTCCTCAGGGTCCACTGGCGGCCCTATGACCTCCCGCAGTCCCCGAAGTGCATGGAGACTCGGGCTCCCCTGCCATAGGGCTGGGTGTCTGTCCCGCCCTGCGCCAGCTCCGGATGACGCCCGATGCCCAGTGCAAAGCACACGCCTGGCTGTAGATATGTCCACGCTCTGGTGTTTCGGGAACGACCCCCAAGAAAGGCCTCTGTGTGTTGAGTGCAGACGCAATTAAAAAAATTTTTTTTCGATAATCAGTTGGTTGAATCTGAAGGTGCAGAACCGTAGATGCGGAGAGCTGGCCGTGTGCTGAGGAGATACTTAGAATCTATACAAATACCGTATTTCTCATCATACTTTCACCCACTAATTTTTGCATCCTTCCCAATTCTGGCATAAAGAGCGATTGCTCTGGTGACTTTCTATTTTCACTGTTCTTTTTTTTTGGTACCAGGGATCGAACTCGGGTCCTTGGCTTGCGAGGCAGGCAGCAGAACCGCTGAGCTAAATCCCCTGCCCTTTTCACTGTTCTCTAATAGAAGGCTTCTAGCTAGGTGTGTGGTGGTGGACGCCTGTAATCCCAAATACTCCGGAGGCTGAGGCCAGAGAGGTCCACCTGGGTAACTTGGTGTGTCCTTGTCTCGGCGGCGGGGGGACGCTGAAAATAAAAAAGGAAAAAGAAATGGTAGGACAGCTAATTATTAAAAAGGTAAGAAAAAGTAGAGCAGCTCACCTGGGCTGCAGCATTTTCAAATGATAATTGATTTTCACGATTGCCCTCTGCTTTATGACGTAAGTAGCAGTCTGAACAATGTTTTGAGGGCTTCGGTGTGGGTGTTTGCTGGCCTTTGGGGAGGTTTTCTCTCCTCCTGAGGGTTGAGAGCAGAGGAGAGAACATTCAGGGTCAACATGTGCGTCGTGCCTTTGCTACAGAGCTCGCTGTCAGGAGCTGACTCCATACCTCATTGCTGTGGTTATTATTCTTTGTTAAGGAAGGAGGGGTTGATACTTTTCTTTCTCACTGATAACTCATAATTGAGCTAGAATTGGGGTGCACCCCCTCTTATGAGGCCTCGGGGCTGCTGCCGGGGCAACGGTTATAGTTTGCCACCTGCTCCCCGAGTCCCCTGGGTTCCATACGCATTCTCATCACTGGTCCCAGTTTTGCTGGCTTTCCCTTTGTGGGCCATCTTATTTGTAGGAGCCCCACCTCAGGTCTCCCTTTGGAGACTTGACTCTCCACTGGTCCCTGCGTGTCTCTGCTGTGACATTCCTCAAGGTCACAGAAGGGCAGCAGGGGCTCCAGGCATCGCGTCTCATGCAAGAATGTCACAAAAAAGGAAGAAAGGGAGTGGGACACAATATTCTCCTATCAGAAGTTTTAGTAACCAGGATTGGTCCTCTGAGCCTCAGTTTCCCCAACTCTAAATGGAGGTAATAGGGAGCTACATCAAATTTCCAATGATGAATGTCATTATATTGTATACTTAAAATGTACCAATAAAATTAAGTTTTTACAAAAGAAAGCTACATCATGAGATTGTTGGAGGATGAGGTGATAGTGAAGTCTTGCATGAGTCTGGCTTGTGATTTGGCTGGGACTGAGTAAGGAAGTGGATTCCAGCACAGCACAGGGCCCCCAGACAGCTCTGGGTACGGGTCAGGCCTGGGCCCGCCCTCCCCCAGCAGCCCTGTACAAGTTCCTTTGCTCAGATCCCAGTTGCTTGCCCTGTCTGGCCACATTTCAACCGCAGAGTTTACAGGGACCTGTTCCGGGCTTTGTCTTTCTTGTCCATTCTCTGCCCACTTTTCTGAAGCTGTGTGGGGTCCAATTTTGGTTCTCTCCATCCTTGGAAGCACTTTGGATGCTTTGATTTGTGTTTGCACACCATTTCTGTGGGGAAAGCAGGATAGGGTGTGGTGCTCTCTTCCTTCCCAGTCCTGCCATCACTGTGGTCAGGGTGCAGGCCACCTCAGGTTTCTTGTTGTGACAACACACACACACACACACACACACAGGACACTTTAGCATGGACTGTTTAAGGATACGGCCATGACTCTTAGCAATCATTATTGCTGTTTCCTCTCCACCTGGTGAATTGTCTTAGCCTTTGAGGTCCAAGCAAAGGTTCCCCTTGTGACACTGTTGTTTGCACCCTGCCAGGCAGACAGATAAGTCCTTCAGTTATGTCCTTCCACAATCAGTGGTCACAGTCCCCTTAGGGCAGGCGACATCTGTTTATCTTAAATCTTCTGGTGCCTTGCTTGGAAATGCATGGAGAAGGAAATCATGTGAGCTTGGTAGAGCTTCACCACCTCTTACCTCCTTCCTGCCTCCCATCCCAACTCTCCCAGCTCCTAGGCTTCTGACTGCCCAGGTACTCCCACTCCACAAGGAAGGCCACGGCCAGCTGGTCCCTTAGCCAGAGCTGCACCAGAGCTGATGGGAACTCATATTTAACTGAAGACTTCTGGACTGTGTCTCACCTAAGCCATCTTTCTATAAGGAGACTTATTGGAGGTCCAGCTAGAAAAAAGGAAGGCCTTTTTACCTTCATGCTTGTGGCTGTTT